CATCTATTCATGGGGTAGAAATGTAAACAGAAAAATTGCAGTAAAATGACCGTAACATTGATATTTCATGGCTACTCAGAAAGTGCCGACTACTGGGCTGGTGATACCCCTATATAACATGACCAGTAGACTCCAACTATCCTCAGTGTAAAAAAGGTGTACCCGACTTATTAGACCCGTACTGTAGTTTGCGTGTCAATAAGTATATAACAGATTTTTTTTTTAAATACGACAGCAATAAACTTTTAATGGGCATAGAACGCAGATGTAAATTATATCCAACCATGTCACTTTCATCGTTGTTTACTTTCTACAACAGAGCGTTCAATTTCTATTGTTTATTTTCAACTGGATATCCATCCACCAAAGATATATTCTTTCATCCTTTCTACAATGGTGCGATCAATTTATATTTTTTTTAATTTTCAATTGGATATCCATCCACCAAAGATAGATTCTTCCATCGTTGTCTACTTTCTACAACAGTGCGTTCTATTTGTGTTGTTTATTTTCAACAGGATATCTATCCACCAAATATAGATTCATTCATCGTTGATTTTTTAATACACTGATGCGTTCAATATCTAGTTCTTTTTTGACTGGATATCCATCCATCAACGATAGTTTCTCATTTTGATACGATTTTTAGGATACACCCCATTTTTTACTTTTATTCACTATTTCTTGTGTGAAGTCCTGCAACCATTGACTTGTTTAATATAAGTACATGTCGAGTATTGTGCATCACTCTTATAAAGCTATGTGCATATGCAATCCATTGGATTAATACAAACATGTTTTATTTGCTAAATTAAAGCAAAATGGATGAGACACAAATAAGTCATACTTATGAATATATACAATAATAATAAAAAGGATATGTGATGGGGTACAGATGTTTGTGGGGCTAAGAAACTACTCATCCTTTACAAAGAAGACGACTCTGGCAGACACACTTCCTATTTAAACAAATGAAATTACTGTGTGTCGTATAACTTACCATCCTTTAATCAAAGTGCTTGTGAGCACTGAAGGGTGAAGATTGCTTTCATTTTGCAATTTGTGAATTTTTAAATAAAACATTGAATTGTATTTTGCTACGTAAATTAAAATTGAGTCGGCGTTATCTTCCTTTGTTCATGATTATACATTTGCAGTTGAACCTATTTTTATAACAGATTCATACACCATGCATTACTTATGTAATTTTTAATAAAAAAAAAATTCTTGACAAGTTTGGTAATTCAAATACACCATATTGTAAATTAAAAATCATAGTATAACATATTATCAATAAATTGCATGACATTGACTGGATATGATCTAAATAATGAACACTTCATTGTACTATTTTGATTGAACTATCAAAGGTAGTGATAAACCATGGAAAATATAGATATCAAGTCAGTGCCATAGGGTTTTTATTGCATTTCATGCAATCTTTACCCAAAAACAAATAATATCACTGCATCAAAGACATTTATCCCCTTTCTTAACCAAGGATATGATACAGAAACTTTCTTCCAAATCTGTATAAGCAAAGGACATGTACTAATCATCCTTAGCAAGACTTTCTTTTGAACCCCTTAAACCATCTAATGTATGTTTATGCTTATTCTGTCAAAACATGTAGTCCTTCCCCATCCTTTACAAACGGGGCACAAGCATAATGCAACAACTTTTGATATAGGAATATATGATGTAGAAGTTTTAAACCATATACATACTTGTGTAATTAAGCAGCTTCAAAACTCTTAAAGCAGAGGACTTGTTATTCAGAAAGTTTCCTTCCTTTATAAAAAGATGAATTTTGTAAAAAGTTCCCATCTTTTATCAATATAGGAAATATGGGTGCACCTTTTATAATAACAGATGACATATGGGGTGCACTTTTTGTTAATAATATTAACAGAGGACACATGGGTGCCCTTAGCTCACATCCTATATCTATACTATTAAATTTGTAGAACAAAATTTTTAATTTGTTTTGTCTCCGAGCCGACGATCATCTGAAGTATTATATATGGATAAAAAGTTAGTGTATGTAACGTACTTTATAACTTCATATAGTAATTGCTTAAATTAGCACAGCTTAATTAAACAAGCATTCTGAGAGTATTGCATGGCAATACATAGTCCCCTACCGGGTAAAATTCATTATACTGGAACAAAAAGCTAACTTGTTCTATAACTTGTCAGGGTGTAAACAAAAAGAAAATATCAAGTCAATATCTTCAAACATGACTAAAAACAGTGTGGAAAACTGATTAAATGAGTGAATTTTTCAAGTCCAAGGACCATAACTCTGCACAAAATTATCAAACCGAAACAAAATTTCGAACTTGATCTGTTTTACTTGTCATGATAAAACTGTATACCAATTATCAAGCATGATGAAAAAAAGTGTGGAAAACACTTTAACATTAGATATGATTCATAGTTCTCTAAAATTAGATATGATGTAATACAGTGTATATCTATTTTCAAATTATAATCAAATATAATTAATACTTCCAAATATTTTTTTCCTTTATTTGTCACAAACTAATATAGATTTGTAACTTATCTATAAAATGTCAACAATTTTTTATCTACACAATGTAATGTAATATATACATTAATAAAAATAGATTATTATCTAATTAAAGGATTTCACTTCATAATATTTTTATATATATATAGCATTCAGAAAATTGGTTTATACAAAATAACAAACCTGCCAAAAAATTCTTCAAATAATTTACCAAAGAATGTCTATTAAAAAATAAGTTATCTCCCTTTGTACAGAAATGTGGTTTAACATAGTACTCTATAAACATTATATGGTCCAGAGTTATGGTCCATAACTCTGGACTAAATCATCAGACCAGAACAATATTCGAACTTGATCTATAACTTGTCATGGCAAAACTATGTACCAAATATCAAATCAATATCTTCAAGAACAAAGAAAAAAAGTGTGCAAAGCTGATTTGCCGGACTGACTGACGGATGGACAGACAGACGGACAGAGTGCAAACCTAAAGTCCCCTTCGACTTCGTCGGTAGGGGACTAATAAACCCCAAATAAAGTACCGTAGCTGGTTCCTTACCGTCTATGTTTTCTAAGCAGGCAGAAACGGAATTAATGACAAAACTGCCCACGGCCAACTCACACCAATCACTCTTGCACCAATTATTACAACTGTCATCAAACTCGCACCACTCGATAATCAATTTGGATTTAGACCTGGGAAGTCAACTGTTGACGCTATTTTTATTTTACTTGGAATAATTTCGCATACACTTCAAAATAAACAAAAAACTTTACTGTTCGTTTGTGTACTTCCGTAAAGTGTTCGACAAAATTAGCAGGAGGATTCTCATTTATAAACTATTATGGAGTGGTGTTAGCTCAGAGTTTGTAACTATGGTTAGATCAGTATATTCATCTGTAAAAATGCGTGTCAAAACTGCCGATTTACTGTCCGACTCATTAGAAAATTTTCTAGGTGTAAAACAAGGGGAACCCTTATCACCTCTACTTTTTTTATTTTTTATAAATGACTTGATTGAAGACATGAATATTAGTCCTTCAGCTGACATAGTTAATATTAATAAAGTTCTAATACACTTAATACTATTTGCAGACGATACCATATTATTTGGGAAATCTCCTGAAATCCTACAGGAACTACTTGATAAACTACTTATTTACTGTAATAAATGGAATATAGAAGTGAATACTAACAAAACGAAAGTTGTTGTATTAAAAAATGGCTGGAAACCGGTAACTGCTAAATTTTTCTACAACAACGAAGAACTGAAAATTGTCGATTCGTATATATATCTTGGTATGCTGATACACTGTAATGGAAATTTTTTACAAACACAGAAGCGATTAGCCTTACAAGGTTCACGATCTTTGGCAGCTCTGAATAATTCTACAAATGGTTTATACTTGACGAAGAAAAAGAAATGTGATTTGTTCGATAGTATGGTTGCGTCTGTGATAAATTATGCTTCGGAAATTTGGGGTTTCCATCGTGGAAATGATGTTGAAATTATCCTTAACCGTTTTTGTCGATCTATTTTGTAACTACTGCTTTGCAAATAAAGAATTCATTCATTCATTCACTCGAAAAAAAAATATTAAAAACTCAAAGAAATGTGTTTAATCATTAGAGAATTCTAGATTGTTTTATTCTTCTCTTAAGTTATTTCCTCCTTTCTCGGAGCACCCGTCACACACAGACAGATCGTTTACCACTAGAAAAAAAAAGAAATACTACAAACTCGCACCACTGAAGAAATGTTTTTGATCATCAGAGAGTTCTAGATCTTCTCTTAGTTATTTCTTCCGTTCTTGGAGCACCCATGTCACACAGAGACAGAACTTGATTTGTACCACTCGAAAAAAAATTACTATAAACTCACACCACTGAAGAAATGTTTTAATCATCAGTGCTCTAGGTTATCGTCTTCTTCTCTATGTTATTTCCACCTATCTCGGGGCACCTGTTTAACACAGAGACAGATGCTACCAATTGGACTTTCAAGCTCCTTGTTGAAGAGGAACTGACAAACTAATAAAAACGATCAACACCATTCATCAGTGCACAAAAAACGTTTGAGAAACATGAATCAAACTGCACGATGTAGGGCTGTGCTGTGTATCACCATTAACATTTCAAGTAGTCTTTATGCCGCGCTTGCACCAGTTTCTTCTAGTAAACAGGATAAATGTTGTGCATTATGTTCCAATCTCTTATCTAAAAGTGTGATGCAGCAACTTTACCAAATCCTGAACCTGATGGTGTGTGATACAGCAACTTCTTCTTTTAAAGTTAATTGTATCAATGCTGGATGGAAAGAATTTTTCCATAAAATTTTATTTTTATTGTATTTTTGTACATATGTATATGATATAAAGAAAATTGATACTTACTTGGTTGTTGACTAAGGAGTAGCAACAAAACACATCCTAAATATCTGGTCTTGTTAAAAAAAATACAGAACTAAAGTATTTAGAAATTTATTTGTAAATTAACATCTAAATACTGGACATAAATATATGCTAATTTCTATGTACAATAAAATCATTAAAATTGACAGATTGTAAACAACAATTCTTTATACTAAACACAACTGTAGTTGTATAGAACATAAAACACAATCACGCCCACAAAGTTTAAAAATTTTCATTCTTAAATGCATGTCTACCAAACACATATACACTTAATGGTATTCTGAATTTAATAGCATTAGACAAAAGATGGACATTTCCTTAACAACAAAAAAAGAGAAGAGCTTCAACATCTTTAGAACAAGTATTTGTTGTCTTTTTTTAAATAAAATTGTTTGAACCATTGACAGATATAAAAACATTGTATACTTGCCATATAAAATAAAACATCAGATTTACAAATGTATGACTTTGTTATTTGCAATTCATGTAAATCCATCTGATTTACGTTATTTTGAAATGTAATACATACTAGAAGTTTGTTTTCAACAGATATTGTTGTCTATAGGCAATTAGTACCCTTTATTTTATTTTTTCAAATACTATTACTTTATAAACATCTCCTTAATAGCACTGCAAGTACATGATAGTATTTACTTCATACAATTTGACAGAACTATTAATGATAAAAAAATATCACATTTACCTCCACAATAAAATTATAACATACAAAAATAAAATGCACAAATAAAACATATTAAGATCATATCTGGCCATTAGCACCCCTGTTTAGAATGCAAAACATTCACAAGAAGAGAGAAATTGTAGATTTCCCTCACAGAACACTATTTACTCTATCATGTTAATTGTCCAATAGAATTCCTGATGAAACTCTTTACATAATTAACATGATTTCTACATTGATTCAATAGATTGAAGAGTAAAGGGAGACTGAGAATCTCTACCATACTGAAAATGCACATTTACTTCATTGGCATCAGATGTATAGAGCTTGGTTCACTGAATGGTCCAGGTCGCCCATGAATATCAACTGGCCTTACAGCAAAATGGTAACGATTTCCTTCTTGGAACTGTGTCAGTGTACAAGCCATAGGTAAAGGTAAAGCTTTGACATCTCCAACCTGTAATCACATTAAATAGATCAGATCAATCAGCCATATATTTATGTATTACAATCTCTCAACTGGAACACCAATCAGAGAAAGAATGTTTTCATGTCAAAGCTTATGGCTAACACACAAACAACTTTGTGTTCATTTCATAACCCAAATTTAACTTGGTAATAGTTGTTCCGTAGTAAATAATACAAACATGTACACTAATACCTGCTGTTGATTAAAATGCAACATGACATTTATCTTTAACCAGATTTATAATTAAATTACAGTTCAATCCCTTCAGTATATTGTTAATGATGTAAATGTATTCAACACTTACCTAAAACGGGCTTGCATCAAACGAACTTACCTTTTTCCACAGACTAGGAGTAGAAGGTACTGCAGTTTCTTGATAAGCAAATAGTTGATATGACTGAATTTCTGCATGATTTTTAGCAATATAGGTCATATTCCATGATAAAACTATGCCTACAAGGAACAGAATATCAGATGAGATGTGTACTAAGTTTAAAATTGATGTGACCACAAGTTCATGGTAAACTTCATTTGTACATTAATCCTAAGCCTTAACCTGATACAGGATGAGCTTACAGATGGAATAATAGTTAAGAAAAATAGGCACCTTTCTTATAGGGACATAAAAACAAATAAAATGCAATATTACTGCAGGCAAAAAAAAAACAACCAACTATCAATGTCAAACATGTGTTTCTTTTTAAAAAGGTCTAATAAAAAGTCCTTACTGCAAGAATACAAGACAAAGGATAATATTCTGTTTGATATTGAAACCAGTACCCCTCTTTTGGAGCATGGGTAAAATAAAAACTGAAAAGATACATACCTTGACTAACCCTAGAAATTTTAAGTGTAGGTTTAGGAGCTAATGGTTTCTCTCCTGGTTTAATGGGTGGAGGATCTTGTACAGGTAATGGAGCAGGATGATTATGTTTCTGAGCTGGTGGTGGGTGGACTAACTGTGATGTTGTTGGAGGTAGCTGTTGCTTCTGAAACAGATGAAAACAAATCTTAGGTGACATAAACTCTGATCCAAGCCATTTCATATCCAAGGTATCTCTCAAAAGAGTTCATGTATAAATTAAACAATTCATGTTTTTTATTCTATAAATCTCTTAAATAGCAAAAATAATAAACATATTCAATAGAAAGGAGAGTGCTAGTTTGAGGCTAATTATGGCCTGTCAATCAGAAAATGAAAATTTGTAAGCAAGTATTTTTTATTATATTTTGAACATGTAGAATAAGAGGCTTTTGGAAAGTAGGTAAATTTCAGCTGAAGCAATTTCATCAAAGACTGGGCATAACATCATGTAATTTTGTGTATATCTTGTATATACACTTCTAAAACTAGCTTCCAAATGCATGTTTAATTTACCAATACTATTTCATGTAACTCATGTGGGTTTTGTTGAAAATCCTTCATTCAAATTCCAAGAAAGGTGAAATTATTGCAGAAAATGCTGGTTAAATAAATCAAGTATATATTTTGCTACATTTCATTTACCTGTTGGTTATTCTGGCTACTTGGTGCTGACTGTAATGGGGGTGGAGGTCTTACTGTTCTCATCATATTATATTGTTGTGCACCAGTTACCATTGTAGTGACTGGTAAACTACCTCTTGGAAGTGAAGCAAGGGGCACCAGTTGTGCTGCTCTTAATTGCGGAGGTCCAACAGTTGGTTGTTGGGATACATTTGGAGGACGAAGACCTGCTGTTGTTGGAGTTGTTACAACAGTAAGCAGACTTCCTGGTCGTATTTGCTGGGCACCAGAATTAAATACCAACTGTAAAGGTTGCTGAGTAGGGCTTAAAAATCGAGTTCCTGCTGCTGGTCCACTAAGCAAAATATTCTGTTGAGGTAACATTGCCTGTTGTGGAGTTAAGTTACGAACATTTCCCTGAGACTGAATACTTGATACAACAGTAGGAATGGATGGAGTTCTAGCAACATGTGACACAATTTGTTTTTCTTCTTCATCTGTCAAATCAATTATCTTGGCTGAAGGCCTTGTAGCATTTGAAATTGTTGTTAGCATATTTGTTTTTGTAGTTGTTGGCATGGACGGAGTAGATGTGACCATTATAAACTGTTGTGGAACCTGTCCAACTTTAGGATTATTTGATGTTGGAAACAACATAGCCTTTGTACTGTTTGACACTATTATCTGTTGTTGTTGTCTAGATGTATCTAGTAAACTTTTGACAGTTTTATTACAAGGATATTGTCCAATTGGAGGTTCTGGAGGTTTTTGTGTAGGTGACAATAAAATCTGTGTCTTCTGTGGAGGTAACTGTAATATTAATTGGAGAAATTTTTATATACATGAATATAAAAAATTAAGATGTGACATAATTGCCAATGAGACAACTCTCCACCAGAGACCAAATAACATAGAAGTTAACAACTATAGGTCACCGTACAGTCTTCAACCATAGTCTTACAGCCCATTATGTGGCTATAACATGGTAAATTCCAACCTGCAATTTGGGGGGTTTGGCGGCATACCTTAATGGGGTACCCTGATGTTTTCCTCTTAAATTTTTTGCCTGCTGATCATATGATCAATCACTAGTTTTTTTAATCAATTTTAATATCTTGTCTTTGAGTAACTTTCCTTAATATGTTCTTGATTGTCTTTATTTGAAGTAGTCTTGACCTCTCAAACACTATCCAACTATTTGCATAGGAAACGAGTGAGTTAAAAATTCTCAAAATTGACACAGAAAGTTGTATACAATTCAAAATTTAATAAGACTGCCTTCAAGATAACTTGAATTAAAGCTACATTATGTATCTGACATCATTATGTTTTATAAGATTCACATAACAACATAATGTGTCCTAGGAGGTGAATTTTAGACATAAATGGTAATTCAAATTCCTGTGCATTTTATAAGAACCTTGAAAGCCATTAGAATAAATAATTCACTACAAAACTAAATTCTCAATATCTATTTTGCAGTTGTCTTTCTTTGAACATGAAATATTACATATTAATACATTCTTGAAAGTTTTCAGTAATTCTAAGGCAGAAACTCCCACAGACAGTTAGTTGATCTTAGATAATTTTGGCTGTTCAGTTAATAGTTGATCTTAGACAATTTTGGCTGTTCAGTTCAAGATCTTATTGGTTTATTCAATAATATGCCTTTTCAAATATTTGTTTCTTTATCATACCTGATGATGACAATTTCTGAATCATGTGAACTTATTACTCCATTTTTAACTCATCATAGTAGACTCACATACTAAAAATCAGCTCAATATGTGAAGGAGTTTAGAAAAAAGAGTCTGTATAATTGCTATTTTCATAAAGACTGTAACTTTGGCAAAAATCAGCAGAGCGGAACCAAACCTAAAATTGATCTGTAACTCATCTTAGTAGACTCACATACTAAAACTCAGCTCAATATATGAAGGTGTTTTGAAAAAAAGTCAGTATAACTGTTCGCTGCAGAATAACGGAATGACGGATAAGGGTAAAACTATATGGCCCCGACTTTCTTGCAGGGCCATAAAAAAGAATTTTGCAACTGATACTGCATCATTATATTTACAGATAATCTTGCTTCTTAATTTATCTCCTATACAATAACTTTCATATTTCCCAAGTTGCAGGTATGGTGAAATTACCAGTAAATCATTTAAAGAAAGATTTTATGTGTTATTAAAAAAATTGCCACACTGTAATACACATCAGTACAGATGTTTTCCATCAGGAATTATAGGATTAAAAAGTTGTTAATAGTACACTAAATTGACTGCAAAAGACCCAGACACTATTTTCCAAGGAAGAGCGGAGTTTTCATCCAGTATAAATTAATTAATTATTTGGCCAGCCTGAGATATGACCCTTCTACAGTTTGACCATATTAATAAGGAATACTTACATTTAAAGCTTGTTTTATCTGTGACTGTGTTGTGACACTGTAAGTGGATCTTGGAAGGTTGGAGGTGATTGGTACTAACTGTCTTGTGACAGCTGGAGGTGACTGAATCATTACAGGCACTGTTGTTCCTTGTGGAGACTGGCAAACAACTGGAGCACTTGATCTTGGTGGTGTTTTGGTACCACTCTTATTTGGTGTTGTCTGACTTTGACTCTGCTGCTGGGCAATTCCTTTACTCTGTAAAGTAAACATCAATTATATTCTATGGGCTAAATATTGTTACTATATTAAAAGATAATTAACATGAGCTAAAACATGTTTTTTTCATATTCAAAATTTACAAATGAATAGCTACAGATACCTACAATGTCCTACAACAAAATGCATACATTATGAATTTACTGCTAAATATGACTGAAAGATCATATATCTATTCCTGATTTAAATTAAAAATAAATATAAGTGTTTAATCTACCTCAGGTATTTTTATCAAGATTTTCTTATAGGTTTTCTCTCTCAATTTTTTCAATTTTAAGTAACATTGGCAGCCATGTTTATAATGATCAATGAAGATGGGATTATCATTATCAGTATAAAATTTTCTAGTTTTATTAACAGTGGAGGTCATGATTGAAAGCAGTTTGGTCAACAAATTCTCCACAAAGGATCTTTACCAAGTCATTTGAGCAAAGATTGGTTGCAATATGTTATTCACATAATTTTTCAGAATGTTTTATTCATAAGTATGTGCAAAGTTTTTTTTATTTAGCGGCAAACATGTCTGAATGAGGTATGGGAAATCAACCATAAATCTGAAAGAGTTTCATGCATGTATCATTTAACCAAAGTTTGGTAGCAATTTTAAGTCTCATGATTTTTTATGATTTTTTTGTCAAAATTTCTTTCTTCAGTAACAGTGTTGGTATTTTTTTTAAAAAGTTTTTTTTAGATTAGCAACTTAAGCTTGTATTAGGGTCATTTATAAATTTCCAACAATTTATTCCCTATATGAGCATTTCAGGAATTTTAAATCTCTGTGTTACTTTTAAGTACTTCTCAAGATATTTAAATAAATTTTTTCATCCCTATGCTATATTTTCAAGCAATAAGGACCTTATTGGTTGATCAGCAGTTAAATCATATAAATTTTTGAATGGATGCCTGCATACATGGGCTACACAAGAAGAATAAAAATAGTTAGCATTTATCTTATTTTAACTTCACTAAATAAATGGTCCTGGTGAGGTACTTAGAAGAAGATAACATCTACAATACTGTTTGCAAAATCTATTTGATCTGGCAATTTGAGAAAGAAAGAGTTGAGTCAACTAATATATTAAGGTTGAATATATTTTTCAAGATGAAGTGCAACAATCTGTTAGACAATAATGTTAGTTTTGTTTGTTTCATGCAGTAACTGTATTAACTCATCAAAGATACCTCAAAATCTCTCATACTTTACAGCATGTCTTATTCTATGTGGACTTCATACAAAAGTAACTTTCTCCTGTGCACAATCACACCAAATTTTCTAGAAATGACCTTTGCCTCTAAAACTGAATGTCATCTCATTTACTTATAATATGTAATGCCAAAAATAAGATCCTGAACATATGTCACTTGATCTCTGACTATGAATTTGAATGCGACTCCTGTTTTCCTGTTAATCAAACATTTAACAAAAGGAAAAGGTAAGAAAAGGCCACATTTTTGTCCCTTGATATCAAAATGCAAGAATTATTGCAAATCTATTAATTGACATCCTTCAGATGTTCACAAGACATTGGTCTGTCAAATTAGTATGTGAAGTTTTTGAAAATTACATTATTTCCTTTAGGGTTCAAACTTCTTGCATATAATGCCAAACTGCCCTGCTGGCTTCATTGTGGGATCTTCTAAATACTTTCACATGCATATTATTAATAAAATATCCACATACATGTAAATATCAGTCAGAAATGAAAACTTTACACACAATCTTCATTTCTAAAAAAAATAATGAGGGGTGAACAAGTGAAATGCTAGATATATTAATTTTATTCGAGAGTATGGCTATAATACTAGCTGCTAAAGGTATATCTAGGTATCTGTTCAACATTTAATACAAGAGTGCACACGCTGAAATGTCTCGTCTTCTTTACTGACCATTGATTTTATGTTGATAGTCCTAACTATAAAGCTTTACTAAAAGTATCACATAAACTTAACATGATCCAAGAAAATGAGGTAAAGGTTAGATAAATCAAACCGGAAATACATGTACACCTTACAATCATTCAATACACCAAATATAGTTGACCTATTGCTTATAGTTTCTAAGAAACAGACTTAAACAGGAAAACTAAACATTGAGCAATGAACCATAAAAAATATGGTCAAGGTCAGATGAACCATGCCAGACAGACATGTACACCTTACGGGTTGCACTTTGTAAATACAGCTGTTTCTCAAACCACGCCTCTTTTGGGGAGATATATAATATTCATAGATATGTTAATTTGCTAACGTACTGGTTCCCATTTATGATCTCTGTGTTTCATCTCATAGAGACATCACTACCAGTATAGAAAAACACAGTAGCGCCTACATTTTAATTCTTAGGAGGTCCAAAAATGGAGGTAAGGGAAGTATAGAATTTTAGTATAAGTTTAAACTCTTTCCGTTCTTGGATATTATTTTCACGAAACTTCATAGTAAAAGAGGCACAGTTTTAGCTGTAAAGGTAGTTCCTATGGGAAATTGCATTGTCTATATTTACAGAATTGCAACCTACAATCAATTTATGCATTAAATATAGTTGACCTATTGCTTAAAGTATCTAAGAAACAAACTTAACCATGAAAACTTAACATTGACCAATGAACCATGAAAATGAGGTCAAGGTCAGATGACACCTGCCAGTTGGACATGTACACCTTACAATCATTCCATACACCAAATATAGAAGACCTATTGCTTATATTATCTGATATATGGACGACCACGAAAACTTAACCTTGTTCACTGATCCATGAAATGAGGTCGAGGTCAGATGAAAACTGTCTGACAGGCATGAGGACCTTGCAAGGTACGAACGTATTAAATATAGTTATCCTATTACTCATAATAAGAGAGAAATTAACTTTACAAAAAATCAACTTTTTTTTCAAGTAGTCACTGAACCATGAAAATGAGGTCAAGGACAATGGACATATAGCAGACAGAAACTTCATAACATTAAGGCATCTATATACAAAGTATGAAGCATCCAGGTCTTCCACCTTGGAAAATATAAAGCTTTTAAGAAGTTAGCTAACGCCGCCGCCGCCGGATCACTATCCCTGTGTCAAGCTTTCTGCGACAAAAGTCACAGGCTTGACAATAATAGATATTAGAGAATATAGAAACTTTTGGACATAACTTGTATGTCACAATTCAAAAGCATATATTTAAATCATATATTAATAGTAGCCTGCAAGGTAAAAGCCTGAGGAAGGTTTTTTTTAATAGACTTAACCATAAAAACCTTGTAATTTTAGTTACAACATGGTCAATTATAAAATTCAAACAAAAAGGGAATGAAAATATGATAACTTCTAGCAGCGGCATCATGGGTAAAAGGCCAAAAAAATTAAAAAAATGTCTGATTCCTGCCACTTTGTGTCAGGTTTTAAGAGATGACAAGATAGGCAGGAAATTATTTTTGTAGAATTTTCATTTAAAAAAGAAACAAGGTAATTTTGCCATCAACGTTTTTTAACCCACAAAATATCTCTTTTTTATGATTGATATATGAATTGAACTGGATGATCTGAAATTCAAACTACGGTAAAATCAGAAACTTTTGCGATATTTTTATTATTGCGAAAATTGCTACAAAAAAAAAGGTGATGCAAAAACATTTCATCACATTTTGATTTTGATACATGCACCATTATTTCTATGCAGCATTTCCTGCTTATGAAATACATGTAATCTCAAATTTTTATCCATTGTTCAACAATCGAATATAAAATACACAAATTTCTGAATTTACCGTAACTATATGTGACTAATATTGAATACCATTTTAATGACCATAAAGTAAATTATCTGGATTACATATATATCAGAACAGACCAATTATGTATTTATTTTTCCAAATATAGAAGAACATTCCACTAGAAAGTCACATTATCAAATATTTTCAAACTTGGCCATGGTATTTTGCCATTAAAATATCATTTACTTTCTTGTAGTTTTGAATGTTTTTACAGCAGAGCTAGCAAAAACTCCTTTATTATCCTATACAGACTAATAGTTTGTACAATTTTATATATTTTTGTTGTTGTAATCCAGATAATCTACCACAGAGTAAACATAAAACCATCCAACAATCAGAACTTATTAATGCAAGCTTACCATGGTGGGTGTAGGTGAAGTAATTGGTTGCTGGAAATCAAATAATCTCTCGTCAATAATCGTTTTTTTTTAATCAAATGGGTGTAAGAACAAATCATTCCAATTAAAAACTTGATTTTAAGTTCCCAATTTTGTTTATAATACATGTAATATATATATGTTGAATAATTGTAATAATGTTTCAAGAAAAAGTTCTTTGGGGGTAATGTAAGGCACTTATAGTTAAATCAGGCAATTCTGAAAAAATATTATTGAAATTAACTGTACAGTAACATATTCAAGTGGAAAGGGTGTCAGGAGATTCCTTCTTATAAAGCACTTTCAGACACTCAACATAAATTTTCAGGAATAACATTGTTTTTAATACAGAACTAAACAATAATAACAATAGATTTGACATTCTTTTTTACCACAATATTAGCCATCAAGTTTATTCATCATATAAATGATCCCAGTACCTATATTATTAATTTGACTCATGTTATACATGTACATATACAAATAACCTATCATCAAGAATAAATAAGAAACCCTAACTAGTTAAAATTTAAGCTCTATATTACAATCATGTAACCAAGCACTGGATATAAATTTTGCTACATATGTGTGAAAAAATAAAACAAAAAGATAAATACCTTTTCCACTTTATTTTCATCCACCTGTACACCAATTGATTTAGTGCTAATTTGCTGAAAGTGAAATTTTCATATTTTTTACAATCAAAGAATTTATTGTAGATTTTTGAAGAAATTGTGGACTTCTTTTTCATATCTTCTTAATAATCAGGCTACAACAATGCCTGCAAACACCCATTATTTGTTTTACCTTAAAACTGGATAGTTACTAATAACTATTGAAAAATACTGCAAACAGTGATTGCATACAAGTTTTTTCTCTAATTGATCTTGACTTATAATTAGAGTCATTTCAAGGATACAAATCTCATTCTTTGTTTATAAATCTTTGATTCAAGTTTGAAGAATGTAACTTGTGTCCATACAATACATGCAATATATTGAAATCTTTGTTACCTTTTTAATTTTTAATACAAAAGATTTTGAACCGTCTTTCTGAATTCTCATTTTTGTAAACTAAACAAATAAAAAAACATGACCCCTTTTTCAATACAAAATTTATTAAATCATCTTTCTAAATTTTAAATGAGCCCATTTTGTACTTCAAAGTGTTTTAGTCATGTAAACAAACATTAACAACAACAGTGCACACACTGACTTATCTTGCTTGCTTTACTGATAATGATTGAAGTCATGTTGAAAGTCTTCAAGATAAGTTTTAATACAATCATATAAACTTAATATTATGAATAATTCATGTAAATTAAGTCAAGGAAAGAAGAACCCTACCCAACAGACATGTGCAGGATTTTCTCGCTGTGTTGAAGACCCTTTGGTGGGCTTGAGCTGTTTTTGGCTCTTTGGTTGAGTTGTTGTATCTTTGACACATTCCCCGTTTCCATTCTCAAATAAAATACTTTGCTGAGCGCAGCTGGATACGACTGCAGAGGTCCAACCCTGAACAGTTGGGGCGAAAATGGACACAATAGTCGCGCTTGATACAGGTCTGAATTTGGATTGCTTTTGTGAAATGCACTAGGCTGTTGTGTATTGACACCCCCCCCCCCCAAAAAAAAATCTGAAATCTGAAATGAAAAAAAAAAAATTGCCCCCTACAATTTCTTTTTACCCCCCCCCCCCCCCCCTTTTTCCAAAAAAAAAAAAAGTCTTCCCCTCAAGATATGGTCATAATCTCAATTCAAATTTCCAATGGAGTTTGCAACCATAATTACCAATTTAAATACATCATAAAAGTCTTAAATAGATAATTTAAAAGCAGTGTAATTAAATTGTCCATTAACCAGGAAACCTTTGTTTTTTCCCCTAATTCCTAAATGTTTTGAGCCATAACCCCTCCAAAGCCAATCCTAACCATCCCTTTGTGGTATGAAAACTTGTGGTATAATTTCAGAGAGATCCATACACTTAAACACAAGTTTTTGTCTGGAAGTTACAGAAATGCTTATTTTTGGCCCCTTTTTGGCCCCTAATTTCTTAACTGCTGGTACCATAACCCACAAAATCAATCCCAACCTTCCTTTTGTGGTATTGAACCTGATGGTAAAATTTCATAGAGATCCATTCACTTAAACTAAAGTTATTGTGCGAAAACCAATGTGTCTTCGGACAACAACGATGACGCCAACGTCATACCAATATACAATTTGCGGTCGTATAAAAAGCAAAACCTACTGATTTCTTACAGTATCTGAGAAATAGACCCAACCACAAAAACTTAACATTGACCAATGGTTAATGAAAATGAGGCCAAGGTCAAATGAACTTTGCCAGATGGACATACTTCTTACAATTATTCAATACATCAAATATATTTGACTTAATGCATATAAAATCTGAGAAAAATGACCAAATCACAATAGCTTTAACATTGACCAATGAACAAAATCATGAAAATGAGGTCATGTCAAATGAAACCTGCTAGACAGACATGTACACCTTACAATCATTCCATACACAAAATAAAGTTGACCTCTTGATCCCATACACCCAATATAGTTATCGTATTACTCTTTATATTACATTAAGTGAGAAATTCTTGAGATAAAAAAAACATAAGTTTGTGTAAGGAGTCGCTGAACCATAAAATTATTTCAAGGGCAATGGACAGAGGGAAACTGCAGAACATAAGGTAACTTTATACCAGGTATGCTGTATCCAGATCTACTACCTTCTGAATATAAAGTTTCCCGTCAGCATTCTGCTATTTTGTCCTATGGCAATGTATGGCAGACAAAACCAACATTGCTACTTAAAATAACCCTTTGAATGCAATATGTTAAATCATCTTACTAAAAATTTCCATTTCTGTACTTTTTACAGTTATTTGGCAACAGAATGGTAACAAAGTGTACGTACAAACACTAACATACTTACCCTCAGTGCTGCAGTTTTTGCTTTTCTCTTCTCATGTTTTTGTTGTAGCACTGTTAGTTCCAACATTTTTCTTTCGAGATCTCTAGCTTTGTTTTTCCACATTTCATTGCTGCTTTGAAGGTCATCAATTTTTCTGTGAAGATCTTTGATAGTTTCATCTCTGTATGTTCTCAAATACAACATGACCTTGGCTTTCACTAGCATTGACAATTCCTATAAAATGGTTATATAGTAACATGTTTATGTCGCATAATTCATTACAAACCTCATGATACATGTACATGTGTGAGTCAACAAATATTCTGTACATAAAAGAACATGTAATGCATGGTTAAACTGGGGAAATTTACTTTAGAATAACAAATCAATGATGTTAAGGGCTCAAATTATTCAACAGGTTTGGCAAGCTATAATCTGAATACCTGCTTCAGGGTTTAAGCTACATGTAGGATTTTGAGGGCTTGTCACTTTTGCGAGATTAGAAAACTAACCGTTGCAGAGATATTTAATCAATCTGATTATTTGAACAGAAAGATAAATCAAATTATTCAGAGCTGAATGTTAGATGGATTTCATAATCATTGACTCTAAACAAAAAATAACAAATATATATTTTTGGTAGCTTGAATATTATTGAATTGAATGGAATTATAAATAATGAAATTATTGGTATTGTTCACCCTTTGGCTTCACTTGCATATTTAGTATTATTATTCTCATTTCTGACTCAACTCTACCACAACCTTTTCATTTAAAAAACTGTCTATATTTCAAAGAAATTCAAAAAGTAAGAATGTTTAAAATAAAAGTCGTAATATCTTTGTAATATCAATTACCTTTCGAGACACTCTCCTGCTTTTCTTTGGAGATTTCACAGGCGTTTTCATTTCAGCAACATCATCATCATCCTCATCATCTACATCTGTATCAGATGAAGTCTCCTCAGACTTTGACTCTGTCACTTCACTGTCAAGATGACTTGCATCAGTGTCTGATAATTCCTCCATGGCTTTCACTTTGTCTAACGGAATACCTATTTGTGTTCCTAGTTTACCTATGACTTCATCTAAACGAGATCTTTTTGGTTCTGATGACGCAGAGTCATCTGACTCTGCAGGTCTCTTCCTGTCAGATCCATCACTTTTAGCGTCATTTTCTTTTTCCTCTTTTTTGCACTTTTCCAACACTTTATTATTTGATTTTAAGTCTGAATCACAGCTTTCTGATTTGATTGAGCATTGTTCATTATCACTTGTGTCTTTTGAATCAGATGAATTTTTTGCTGAAGATAAAGCATCATCTTTTTCTTCATCAGAGTCAATATCCATTTTCTCCTCTTTATCATCAGAAATGGAACTTGCCAGGGACTTTGCATCCTGACTATCTTCTGAACAATCCTCCAAACCATCCATCTCTTTTGTGCCATCTTGACTATCAGTAACTTTTTCACTGCTAACAGACTTTGTGACATCATTATTAATAAGAAGACCATTGTCAACATTTGTTAATTTATCACATTGTGACTCAGGTTCCACAACTTTACAAGTTGATTGGTCATTTGAATCCGATTTAATGCTATGACTGCTAGATTCATTGTGAATACTGAGGTCTAATTTTGTACTAGAATTATTAATTTCTGGCTTTTCATTATGAATGCTAATGTCAGATTTTGCACTACTATGACTGGTATTAGATGGAACACTTATGTCAAGACTATGATTTGTGTTAGATGGTACACTAATTTCCGAGTTATGACTATGATTACTTGAATCACTATGAATTGAAATGTCATCTTGTTTTTTATGATGAACTGAACTTATGCTATGAACACTAGTTTCTGAAATGATGCTATGATTACTTTTTACAGATTTATCACTATTTACTGACTTCACACTATGATTACTTTTTACAGATTTATCGCTATATATTGACTTAACACTTGCTTCTGATTTCACACTATGATTACTTTTCACACTGTGATTACTTTTTATACTGTGATTACTTTTTGTACTGTGATTACTTTTCACACTTTGATTACTTTTTACACTAGTCACACTATGATTAGAATTCTCATTATCTAATTCTAAAAGTTTATTTTCATATTTGAGATCATTGGTGTTGCCTTTACTATCTACGTCCACATCAGCTTCCAGCTGGAGAAGTTTGTCCTCCTCTTTCTTATCCAAATCTTCTTCAGAAGTTTTGGTTTGGGACTGTGAGTCTCCATTAGACTTGAGAAGTTCATCTTCAAAGGAGTCATCAAGTTCTATAACATCTGGATTTGGTTTTGTATCCACTGCAAGGCATATGAAAAAAAGTTTAAAGTAATATTTATTTGTCTTTATATGAACATTGTGTACACCAATACAAAATGCTTCTGTCCTTCATTAATATCATTTCTTTCTATACAATTTAATCATATTTATCTTATTTTCATTATTTATTTTTGTTTGGAGGGGGAGTGGGGTGTTTATGCCAAGCACAAATATCAAAAAGTATTTGTTTTTAAAATATTATCAATTTACTTCAAAAATTTTTAAACACCATGATACTATATTTCTTAACATATTGATAGTCTTTTTCAAAAAAGGAAAACATCATTTTACAATTTTCCATCTACATCTTTGTCTCATTGCATCATTAACACTGATTTATATTCAATTAGTTCATTAGTAGGCCATTTGTTTTTATTTTAACTGTTGAAGTATCTTTGTATAAAAGTTAAAGGAATTGCATTTTTTAACAATGTATTTGTAAGTTTTACTAAATTACCTTTTAGCTTTACAAACCGGTCACTCTGATTGTGTATATGGAGAACTATCTGAACTTTTAAATGTCTTTTTGCAAATTAGGCATATGAAGGTTTTAAAATTCTGTCATAATGATCAGTACAAGAGTTTTGTCAGACTATACGTACCGGTCTTTATGCTTGAATTATTTTGAATTTTGTCTGAGGTTTCTGGTGTACCCTGAATGTCTTTTAAGTTTTCAAATAAATTATTTCCCAAATGTTTCTCTGTCATACCATTTTGGGAAATACTGTTCTTGATAATATTACATTTATTTCGTGATTCCAATCCTATAGATTTTGTTTGAGCTAGAAGATTTCCAAGACTGTTTGCATCATTTGAATTATCTTGGGATTTTACCAGTTTTTCGTTTTTGACACTTGTTATGATATCCTTGAAAGAATTCCTGATACTATCGTTAATTGTAAATTTCTTCGGCCTTGAGAGAAGGTCAAGGTCGTTTCCATTTTTCTGTAGGAGTTTTGGTGTGTCGTCTAGTATGACCAAGTCATCATCTTTCTTTTCCATCTTAAGACTTAGATATTCACTAAAGTCTAAATCGTGACCTGTCTGACTGTTGAGTGCCTTTAATCCAAGTAAACTCTGATTAAAATTTCTGTTGAACTCGTTGTTAGGATCAGCTTCGTCTAATGCCTGCATACAATCTTTTGGTTGTGAAGTTGCATCACATGTAGAATCCGACGCTGGCATGGCCATTAACTAGACATCCTGTAAATAAAGAAGAAATATCAATTGGCACGTTCTTCTCGAGCGTTTCGTTAAAATACGCGTTACGCTTCAGCAATATCACGTGCAAATAAAATAAATCTTGATTGGACGATTCGAACACTCCATTGATCAGCGAATGTTTCCTTATTATTGACATTATGCCAATTACAACCATAACCTGAACACAATAAAATGCTCCGCTGGGGCGCAGCTTGATACGACCGCAGAGGTCGAACCCTGAACAGTTGGGGCAAGTATGGACACAACATTCAAGCTTGATACAGCACTGAATTTGGATTGTAATTAAATATTTGACACAGCATAGGTTTCTGACACAGAATGAAAGTGGTCTAAGAACTTAAAAATTTTCAATTTACCTATTCATACATGTGATGGACTGTGAAACTCAGATCAGGAGATTGGGAAATTTTGGTCAGGAGATTAGGACTCAGATCAGGAGGTTTTTAATCGACATTAATTTTGTTGTAAATGTAACCGTGTGCTGTAAAAATGGTCTTTTAAAGTGTGTTTTCTTTAACTTTCCAACCAATTTATTATGTTTATAGTACCCTTGTACTTATAAAGTTTCTCCATCTTTATATTCTACATGTTCAATCTAACATTGTTTTTTTCCAGTATGTTCTTTAAATTTTTTACTTCATATTCTATAAAATAATCATTGCAACCAGAACATTTGTTTAGCTGTCTGCAAATAGTTTTTATTTTTTTATTTTTTCTCTTGCAAATAGTTTTTATTTGCAAACTCAGAAATTCATTCTATCTGTAAAGTTAGGGTCATAGTTATTATATAAATTTCAATTTAAGCCTTAAAAGGAAGTATAGAATCCTCAAATAATTTTCAAATTATTATTTTTTTATTTGTCCTAAGACATTTAAAATCATTTAATAACCATCCTTTTATGATTATTTGTTCAATTTATATTTTATTTATATTCTTTTAAAAATTTTCATTATTAAAAGGAAAGTAACTTAAAACAGGATAAATCAAGGGAAGTAACCCAATAAATACACAGTTTTTGTTACACAACGGCAGTTAGCCTGAGGTAAAAATCGTTGTTTACCAGTATGTTTGACACCCAAGCTGACAAGTGAAGCCATATAATTATGCATGTAAATTGATTAACAGGTAAGATATAACTTCAGGTAATGTCAGTTACACCAGATGCCTGAGATGTTATGTTGGGCAGAAATTTTTCATTCATGAAAAATTTCATACACGGGATTTTTTCAACGGGAGGTCGGGAGGAGACCCCTGAAAACGGGATTATTGTACTCCCGTCGGGAGGTTCACATGTATGCCTATTCAAACCATATCATTATTATTTGCTTTTATATATAAATCAGAAATAACCAATTTAAAATGGAAAATGTTAAAGAAAAAAAAGGAACAAAAAAATTCCCCCCCCCCCAATTTTTTGAACCCCCTTATGATTCATCGCCCCCAAACTCAATCCCAGCTTTCCCTTTGTGGTATGGTACCTTGCAGTACAATTTCAGAGAGATTCATACACTTGAACACAAGTTATTGTCTGGAAACTAGAAAAATGCTTGTTTTTTGGCCCCTTTTTGGCCCCAAATTCCTAAACGTTTAGGGCAATTACCCCCAAACTCAATTCCAGCTTTCCCTTTGTGATATGGAACCTTGCAGTACAATTTCATAAAGATCCATACACTTACACACAAGTTATTGTCCTGAAACTAGAAAAATGCATGTTTTTTTTGCCCTTTTATGGCCCCTAATTACTAAAATTTTGAGGGAAAACCCCCAAAATCAATCCCAGCCTTCCCTTTGTGATATGGAACCTTGTAGTACAATTTCATAAAGATCCATACACTTACAAACAAGTTATTGTCATGAAACTAGAAAAATGCTTGTTTTTTGCCCCTTTTTGGCCCCTAATTCCTAATATTTGGAGGAAATTACCCCAAAAATCAATCCCAGTATTCCCTTTGTGATATGGAACCTTGTAGTACAATTTCATAAAGATCCATACACTTACAAACAAGTTATTGTCATGAAACTAGAAAAATGCTTGTTTTTTGCCCCTTTTTGGCCCCTAATTCCTAAAATTTGGAGACAATTACCCCCAATATCAATCCCAGCATTCCCTTTGTGATATGGAACCTTGTGGTACAATGTCAGAGAGATCCATACACTTACACACAAGTTATGTCTGGAAGTTACAAAAATGCTTATTTTTGGCCCCTTTTGGCCCCTAATTCCTTAACTGTTAGTACCATAACCATCAAAATCAATCCCCACCTTCCTTTTGTGGTATTGAACCTTATGGTAAAATTTCAATGAGATCCATTCACTTAAACTAAAGTTAGAGTGCGAAAACTAATGTGTATTCGGACGACGACGCCGGACGACGACGACGACGACGACGACGACGCCGGACGACGACGACGACGACGACGACGCCAACGTCATACCAATATACGACCACAAAAATTTTTTTGCGGTCGTATAAAAACCACTCTTTTGAATATTTTATGATTTAAAGAAGCGAAATGACATAATGCAAGAATGAAGGAATATTCAACAGGAAGTAAAAAATCCTATTAAAATATAGATGATATGGATAACTTTGATAAATTGGTAGTATGTCTTTCATGTCCGTCAGTAATGCAGTATGCAGTTCATGATTCATTAAAAATCATGGGTACTGAGGAGAGCGGATTCGAACTTCACGATATGTACACATGTATTTTATGTCTTGTATTTTTATTATTCTTGAGACATATTATGTACTGTGTTAATTTGTAAATTTCAGTGGCGAATTTAAGGGATGTAGTGTGTTAATTTGTAAATGTCAGTGGCGAATTTAAGGGGTGGCCCCCTAAATGGAGTTACATATATGTAAATGCACAAACTTTAATAGTCCCACTCCTAAAGTTTAACGTATTCTTGCCCCATATGTACCCTGCCAGACAGACATGTACACCTTACAAGCATTCCTTACAATAAATGACATATTGCTTATAGTATATGATAAACTAACAAAACCATGAAAAACTTAGCATTGACCAATGGACATTGAAAATGAGGTCAAGGTCAAAGGACACCTGCCAGAAAGACATGTACACCTTACAATCATTCCATAAACTAATGGCTCTATTACTTATAGTATTTGAAAAATAGACAGATCCACAAAAACTAAACATTGTCAAATAAACCATAACAAGAGGCCGTCAGAGTGACAGCACACCGGATTTTCCTACAGAGGTCGAACCCTGAACAGTTGAGCAAGTATGGACACAACATTTAAGCTTAAAACAGCTCTGAATTTGGATTGTGATTGAATATTTGACACAATATAGGTTTGTGACACAAAATGAATGTGGTCAAAGAACTGAAAAATTTGAAATCGGAAATTTACCTATTATGGTCCAATATCCAAAATCTAATAGCATTGTTATCATTAGCATATCAAAGAACCCCAAGAATTCAATTTTTGAATTGTTGATGAAATCAAACAAAAGTTTAATTTAGGACCCTTTGGACCTCAATGGGGTATTTTCTAATTAATAATGAAAATAAATACAGGTTTAGATTCAGCTTTTCAAAGAATCCTATATATATATTCAATTTATGTTGAAATCAAACACAGTATAATTTTGGACCCCGATTTGGACCAACTTGAAAACTGGGCCCAAAATCAGAAATCTAAATATATCTTTATTAATAGACAAACTAAGATTAGTTTCTAAAGGAGTTTGCTTCATCAAAAAATATATTTATATAGCATTCAGAAAATAAGTTTATACAGAATAACAAACAAACAAACCACAAAATTCTTCAAACAATTTACAAAAGAAAAGATGAAAAAAAATCCAAAATGTCATTTATCATTAATACAGTATCTATTAAATATCTATAAAACTTGTCTGTAATTATTTTCACAGTGTCTAATAATGAACAGTAAATTCCAAACGTTATTTGTACTGTCCTACAGATTTTATCATCAACACCTAGGAAACAGAAAATTTTCAAATAAATCTGTCACTCCAATAATAATTGAGTGATAAGATATTTACCAGATGTTTTGTTATCTATTAACAGGTGAACATTATTTAAAAACACTTAGTGTAATCAAACTTTATATATATAATTAATAGTTCCCAATATTTTTTCTTTCATTGTCACAAACTTTTATAGATCTGCAACTTATCTATCAATGATATTTGCAAATCACAATTTCTGTTCAAAGGGAAATAACTCAATCATATAATAAGTATATATTTGGACTTCTAAAAAGTCGAAAACTCAAAAACGAGAAGAGCTAAAATCGTGAAAATTGAACTTGACCTTCATTTAGTCACAGGAAACAACGTATAAAAATTTGATTGTTAATGAACGGACACCGCCCGCCCGCCTTACATCCCCAAATCAATAACCGATTTTTCATGCGAAAATCCGGTTAAAAATGAGGTCAAGGTCAGATAACCCCGCCAGTCGGACATGTACCTCTTACAATCATTCCACAACAAAGATAGTTGACCTATTGCTTACTGTATCTGAGATCAGGACTTGACCACGAAAACAGAACCTTGATCACTCATCCATGAAATGAGGTCGAGGTCAGGTCAAACCTGTCTGACGGACATGTATACCTTGCAAGGTACCCATATACCAAATATATACATGGCAAAAAAACTATACAGACCGCCAAAAGTTAAGCACCACCTAAATATAACTGTCAATATTTTTTCGACTATTGCGAAAAAAATTCTTATGTTCGGTGTTATGAATTGCATATAGCATACACCAAGAAAATTCATTACGACCAAAAAAATTAAACTCCGATATACCCGCCAAGCAACCTTTTATTAAAGGTCATCTGCACTTTTACAAATACACTGTTTCGATTCCTTTAAATCACCTTCCTACTGTCCCGCGTACAGGTGAAATTTGACCTTCACCAAGTCACTGTGAAATATGGCAAGCGGTAAGTTATCTGTGACTGAACGTTGAC